AAGGAAAGGAAAGGAAAGGAAAGGAAAGGAAAGGAAAGGAAAGGAAATGGAAAAAGAAAAAGAAAAGGAAAAGGAAAAGAGACATTCTCCATGCAGTGTATGTCACAATGTATAGAAACAATCATGTGTCAATGAAAGGTGGCTGACCCATTCTGCAGAACCATTTTCTAGACAAAAATAAATCCCAGGCTACCCCCACAAAGTGGGTGTAAGATTCTGCTGTTTGTAGACATGGTGTGTCACTTGCACATCTGCATATTCATGAACCCATCAAAGAAAAGCATCCTGGGTAAACCTTGGTGCCCCTCAGCCCCAGTGGCCTCTTGACAAACCCTCTCACTCCTGAACACAGCCCAACACAGGAAGGCAGCTTTTTTGGGCCACTCTCATCCCTTCAGGCATTAACCTCACAGATGGCACCATGACAGCTCAGGGATTGGAGCAGGGTCGTTCTCCAGAAAATAACTCCAGAGACATATTTGAACACAGGGAAAGGGAAGATTTTTTTTTAACAAGTCTCCAAAATAAAATGAGCCCTTTAGAAGAGAAGCAGGGGTGTGGTGTCAGATGAGAAAGGTTTTCTTTATAAACAGGAGGGAGGACTATGTAGTCACCTGTCCCCTGCTGGGAGACTCAAGTCTCTAGGTGTGGGAGACCTGCAGAGGGTGGGGCTGGGGCTGGAAGGTACTTTCTGCCCCAGCGTTTTTTTTTTTTGAGGAGCATCTTTTGGGGAGGGACAGAGCCTCAGGGTCTGTTCCAGGACTCTCTGCTCCAATCCCTTCTCCCTGAGGAAGCTCTGTTGCCCCAACAACTGGGGACACCGGGCAAGCTGCTTGACCTCTCAGTGACTCAGGGACAGGACTGGCCAGCACACAAGGCGATTATAAGGGTCGTGGGCAATCAATGAGTCATTTCATGGAGATGGCTCCCTGAGCTCTAATTTATCCCCATGGAGCAGACTGATCTGCTAAAGAATGAAATGCACATTTCCTCCTTAGCTCCTCTGAGCCCCTCTTTCCCTCAGGGCCCTTGGCTCTTTCCTGTCCCGCTTCCCGCTACTCTAGGATTGCTCACAGTGCCTACCAGTGCCACTGTATATGCACAGCCTCAGGGTGGTTCCCCACTGGCTTGCTTCCTCTGCTCCATGGTTTTGGTGGCTCTCTGGCACCAGAGATCCCAAAGATTGTGGATCTCCACTGCTGTTCTTAAGGCTTGTGAATGAAGCAAGCCCAATTAGGATGTTTTAGCGTGTTTATATCTCTCTCCCTTTCAGTCATCAACAAGCCTCCTCCTTCCACAGCATTCCTTTGTTCCCCTCTCTCCCTTCCCAGGGCCTCTCCTCCCCTCCTCCTGGCTGTTGTCAAGATCCAGCCAGAGCCTCACCTCCTCCAGGGAGCCCTCACTGATTGCCAACTCCACACAACCCCCCTCCCCCCACCGTTCTTTATACACTGTTACTCTCTTTGCACTACACATCCCAAGTGACAGCATCTCAGACAAAAACAAACTCCAAAAAATACTGAATAATGCATTAAATGCAAATAACTGTGATGATACCTAATGATTCCATGACACCCACGGAGTACTTTTCATTTCAATTCATTAGACTGACCTTAAGGCCCCAGAAGGGGACACAGGTCAGCACGTTTTCTCCCTTGCCTTCTCCCTCACTCATAAGGCCCCCTCTCTCTGGCTCAAATAGCAGTATGTCTGGAGGAATACTCTGTGCCATGCCCTTTATATTCGTTGTCTCCTTTGCTTCTCACCTCCTTAAGAGGTAGGTAGTCAGAGTGTCCCCATTTTACAGATGTGGGAACTGAGGTACAGAAGGGAGAAGCAACTTACCCAGGGGTACTCAGCTGGACAGTGACACATTTTTTACCTTCAAACCAAGCACTCAGCCTTTAAAGCCTACCCTCACAACCAACCCCCAGCTGCAACAGCACAGCCAGCAGGGGACACACTTGGGAGAGCCCTCCTGGGAGCAGATCTAGAAGGGCAAGAGTCTACTGACCCTCCGGGAGGACAAAGGCAGCACAACCAGGCTGAATTAAGTGCCCAGCTGGCCACCTCAGAAGAGTAAGGTCAGGTAGGCAGGAAACCTGTAAGGTGGCCAGAGGAGGGAGGAGTGGCCAGATGTTGGTTCTTTAGGATGAACAGAAGAGGACCAGACAGGTGAGGAGGGCATGCCTCTGCCTAGAGCATGAAAGGACTGCTCTGGGCATGGCAAAGGGCCACAACGGACTGGGCCAGGCACTGCCGTGTGCCAAGCACTGTGCTGGGCATTTGGCATACACCATCTCAGCACAAAGGGAGACTTAGCACAAAGGATGAAGGTTGCGATAGGTGAGAAATCTGGCTGGCCAGGCTGGATGGCTCAGAGGAGCAGGAAGAAGGGTTTAAACTAGTTTCAGGTAACCAAGAAATGGCCAGTTTACTGCTTAAGCCCTTGGCTCATTCCCGGTTCTGGTGAGTCAAGCTGACAGGGAAGCCCAGGGTCATGGCTGGCCCTGAGTAGATGCCACAGAGAACCCAGTCCATGCCAGGATCCACCCATCCATCTGACTGAGCCACAGGGGTTTCTTCTTGCACCTTCAGGCTGGGCAGGGCTGGGACAGGGTGTCCTGGCTGTCCACCGAGATGAGCCCTGAGCTGGCTAGGGAGGGACGCAAGAGTCAGGATCTGGGTGAACAACTGATGGCCTGAGGGTCCCAGAGCCAGGTGAGATGAGATGGGAAACCGACCTGACAGGGGAACGGCTGTCTAGAGCAGTGTGATTCTGCACCCCTCTCCCAGGCGCTTGGAGATGTCTGGAGACATCCTTTTGGTTGGGGGAATCTAGTGGGTAGAAGCCGGGAATGCTGCTAAAAATCCTTCAATCCATAGGACAACCTACCACCACTCCCAACAGAGAATTATATGGCCCCAAATGGCAACAGTGCCATGGATGGGAAATCCTGGTGTGGAGCAAGCTGGGTAAGAGGGGCTTAAAATCCAAGGCACTCCCTGCGATGAAACTGCCCCTATTCTGAGGAAGAGGCATTTTTTTTCCCAACTCAGCAAGATGCAGTCTGAGGCAAGGACTAGCATGAGCCCCAGGCTGGGGGGGTGGGGGGGGGGGGGACAGGGAGGGAGGAGGGGAAAGTCATGGCAGTGCTAGGGGAGGAAGAGAATGTACCTGCTGTCACCCAGGCTTTGATTTGTGCAAGAAGCAATTTATAAGAGATACTTAGTCTTTAATGGAAGGTCAAAAAGTCAGCCCACACGATTATGTCATCTCTTTACTGGCAAAGGCAGAGGTTTTAAAGCACTTTGACATACCCACCCGGTGGGAAATGAAATGTGATCAAAGATCTTCACTGTGGAACTGTTTCTAAGAGCAAAGGATTGGAAACAACATAAATGTCCATCGGTGGTGGGCAAGCTAGGTAAACAATGGAACATCCCGCCAGAGAATGACATTTTCTATGTATAGAAGTAGAAAGTTCTCTGGAATATATTAACTGGAAAAAAGCACAGTGAGAAGATCACTACGGAATACTTCGCTGCCATTAGATGAAAAGGGAGGCAAAAAATCAACAGTATATTGATCATTGCTTACATTTGCATAAAGCAGGGGATCTCAAACTTCTCTTTGTATCGTAACCACCCAGAGGGCCTTTTCAGCCATACTTAACTTTAAACAACATCAACCTTGCTTTTATTTGGGGGAGGGATGTGGAAATGTGCCCACTTTTCTCGCCCAGAATGCAACTCCCCAGCTTTTCTGACCCTGGCTGCTCACCAGCCCGACTGACCAGGAGCAAAGATCAGTGACCAGCTCCTTTCCTAATCACTCCAGCAAACCCTCCGAGACTGTTTGTTAACCCTTAATGGCTGCTGAATGTGAGACGTTTAAGGCGTTGGAAGGAATCCCTGAGGAACCAAAGACTTGGAGCCACTAAAGCACCTCCCCCCTCCTCACCCCCAACTCCTCCTCCATCTGGAAGTGACCTTCAGGTCACTGAATGAAGGTGGCTGCAGGCCAGAGACAAACTTGGCCCTCCGACGCCCCCTGCCCCCGCCCCGCCCCCGCGAAGGGGGCGGAGCGACGGCTGCGAGGGCTCCTCCCGCGGGCTTTGTGCGCGCCTGGAATCCAGCTGTCGCCGCCCCTCGGAGCCCCCTGCCCCCGGCGGGCGCACATTTCCGGGCCGCCCACCACCCCGACCGCGTCGGTAGCCGCTGCGCCTGCCTGCTCCGTGGCCGTTCCGCCCCAGTAGCCCCCGAAATGCCGGTCGACTTCACCGGGTACTGGAAGATGTTGGCCAACGAGAATTTCGAGGAGTACCTGCGCGCTCTCGGTAAGCTGCTGCCCCGGCCGGCCGCTCGGGGACGAGGGCTGGGCCCCGCAGAGCTCTCCCGAGGGCCCGCCTGCCTCCGCCTGGGCCAGCCGCCGCCCCGTCGCCAGCCAGCGAAAGGGCTTCGGCCGCCAACTTGGAGGGTGGGGGTTGTTAGGACTAATTGGTGGTAAACATCTGATAGTTGCCTCTAGACGTGGATAACTTCATTAGGAAAGCTGGGTCTAGTTTGCTAGGTTTTGTTGGTACAGGGTCAGCATAAGGCCAGAAAACTTTGTTGCAAAAAAAAAGAATGCGCAGAACCGGTTGCTGGCTGAGACAGCGCTAAGCGAACAGGAAACCCCAATGGTGCTGCCCTGGGGAGGAGCCGGCTCCTGGGACCCCGCTACCTTGGAGACAGTTATCTGAATGTTCCTGCCAATTCTCTGTCCCCTCTACCCCCTCATCCCCTGCAGATGTCAACGTGGCCTTGCGCAAAATTGCCAACTTGCTGAAGCCAGACAAAGAGATTGTGCAGGACGGCGACCATATGATCATCCGCACGCTGAGCACTTTCAGGAACTATATCATGGACTTCCAGGTTGGGAAGGAGTTTGAGGAGGATCTGACGGGCATAGATGACCGCAAGTGCATGGTGAGGATTTGCATACACCAGGGCATCTCCTGCCCAGGGGGCCTGACCGAAGTCTGGACTACTTCCTTTGGGAGGGAGGCGAGGGCCCTTATGTTCTTAGGGACCAAGGATCTTCATACTCCCAGCCCTCAAGGTAGGCAGCACCCACTTATCAAGCATCCCCCTCTGCCCAAACAGGATAGTGATGGATATGAAAGCTGCAGATTGTTGAGTCTCTGTTGTGTCCGGGCACTGAGCCAGATGTTTCATACATCTGACTTTATCTAATCCTCACAACCTATGAGGGTGGTAGGAGTATGACCATTTTACAGATGAGGAAACCGTCTCAAAGAGATGAGTAACATGCCCAGAGTAGCTAGGCAGGGGCTGGGCTGGAATTCTAGGCAAGTCTGTTGATTCTCTTCTCCTCTGCCTGTACTAGGGCCAGGTGGAGGAAGGCTGAAGGAAAGGAGGAAAGAAACACAGGGAACTCTTTTGAAGTGTAAAACTTCCTGTATAGCCTAGCATGAAGCCATTCTAGGAAGCAGGGGATCTCCCTGAAGCCTCTGACCTGCCCCACCTCGTCCCAGAGCTGGGATTTGGCTCCTGGCCCTCCCCTTCCCCACCCTATATTCCACTGCCTGCTGAGCTTCCTTTGAACCCTGCAGCCAACCCCTACTCAGTAGGTCATTGCCATGGTGGCCCAGGCTAGAGGAAGCATTCCTGCAGGAGGGGGAGGGAAGTGAGCAGCCTATCCCCAAGGGTGGGAAGCTGATGACCCAGAGACCCCAATTAGCGTTTCCATAGGAAATTCTAGAAGGTCAGCCCCAAGTCTCTATCAACATTCTTGGGTCACTGGGAAGGTCTGGGTGCTCCCAGCATCCCTTTCAGTCTTGGGTCCAGAGCTAGTATTGTATGCTCACCCCTAGGGACCTGCTTTGCTTGTTGACGGAGCGCCCCCCCCCCCCACCATCTCCCTTCCCCCTCCCAACATTTACTGAGGGTCTGCTGTGTGCCCTGCACCGCACCATTATTTTACACCATGGCCCAACGAGGGAGAGATCCACGACCCCGTAATATACAATGACTGAGGCTCCAAGAGGAGAAGAGACTTGTAAGAGATGGGATTTGAACCCTAGGCCTTTGCGCTTTGAAGCTCACCCTTCTGCTCCCTGCCAGGCCCCTATCTGCCAGTCACCTTTGCAGAAGCCAGATGGCAGAGGTTTGCTGGGGCTGTGGTTGAAGGTGCCAGAGTGTGGAATCCCAGGCCTGGACTACTCCCCCCCGGCCTGTTGATTCATCCGAAGGTAGTCAGGAGTTGATGTCTGAGTCTGCTGTTTGGAGTGATGGCAGAAGCGGGGGTAGCCAGCAGGGAGTGTCCTTGGAGAGGCCGATACTGGTGTAGGAACATGTCAGTTGTGCCTTAAGAAGGCCCAGGGCCTCTTAATCCTCAGAGAGGCTCGCAGTGGGAAAGGAGACCCGGCAGCAGGGTCTGCCTTGGTAAGGTGAGGGCTCTGCCTTTCAGATAACTGTCCATGATCTGTTCCCTGGCCTGCTGGATGGAGCTTAAGGACACCTCTTGTCCCCAGCTCACTCTTAGGGTACTCACAGAGCACATCAGACATCTCTGTTTGTTTTAGGTCACTGCAGCCTCTGGAATGTGCCCACTTGTACTTACTTGGCTAATTGCCTTCCATCTTGCTTTCTCTCCCTCATCCATTACTGCGTGAGACGTATGTTGATCACCTGGTAATACTAGCCAGTGCTTGTTGAGTGCTTACTGTGCACCACATACTGTTACCACGTACTCTTCCCATTTTATTTTAACCCAATCTTCACAATACCGCTTTCAACCCCATTTCACAGATAAGAAAACTGAGGCAAGATTTCTTGTTGTGTGATGTTGGGGAGGTTAAGTAAGTAGCCGAGGGAGGGTTTGGATTTGGTCTGTCAGCTCCGGAGTCCCTGCCATTAACCACTGCACTGCACCTACCGCGTTCCTCACACACTAATCACGGCCCCAGGCACAGGGACGTGGAGGAGGGTGTCACAATCCCTGATGTGCCAGGAACTTACAGTCTTTGTGGTGAAGACAGACACACACAGAGAACATAGTGTGATTAGTGGTGACAAAGGGAAGCACCTAGAGGAGGGGAACCCAGAAGGACTTCTGGAGGAGGTGGCTTCTACACAAGAGGAAAGGGGTAGAAGAAGCCAAGGTTTCAGACACAAAGGAAGGGGCACGTGGCCTCCTTTTTTTCTCAACTCAGCATTAGGACATCAGGACAACCCAGGTGAGCAGATCAGGGAGCTCAGCAGCTGGGCAAACTAATGACATTGGACTAGGACTCATGGTCACCTTTGCTGTCCCAGGACTCAGGGCGCCCCTCTCCCAAATGTATGGCACTCACTCACCTTGGTGCTGTTGGGGGGGTGGACGGCCTCTCTGCTCCGGCCTTCCCTTGACCCTTTGCATTGCAGAGAAGTCCTTCTCTGGCTGCCAGCTGGATGGAAGCCTACGGTGAAGAGCATAGCCAGGGGAGGGCGGAGGATAATCGAATTGTAGCGACTGTCCAGCCCGAGACTTGCAAGGGCCAGAGGAGCTGCCTGCCAAGAGGCCGCAGGGGCTGAGGTCTTCAAGTCCCCCTGGGGTCCTGGGCCAGGCAGTTGCCAAAGCTAACTTTTACCGCCGCCCCTTCTGCTCCACACACTCCGCACCCACCAGCCAGGAGCAGTGGCCAGGAGGAGGCCAATCTGTTCTCGGCACCAAGTTGGCTGGATTCTAACATTTCCTTCCCAGCACATCACAAGGGTCTCATTTCTCACCTGGGATTGTTCATCTGTTTTGTTCATTCCTTTCTTGGTCCGACAAGCATTTTATGTCGCTTTCCCATATCTTTGCAACCCCTGTGTTACTGAGACGAATTGCACAAGATTTCTGCTCTCATAGAGCTCAGGGCAGTGGGGGAGGCCAGACATCCTGTGATAGCATGCGGGTGGGGGCAGGACAGCCAGAGAGGCACCCCCCCTGGATCTGGGAGGTCAGGGAAGGTTCTCACTTCTCACAGGAAGTAGTCTGAACTGTGGCTTGAAGGATAGATAGGAAATAGCCAGGCAAGCAGAAAGGGGACAAGAGGAAGGCCAAGGCCAAGAGAACAGAGGTTGGTAAATGCTACTTCAGACCTGTCCCACCTTGGCCTCTGGGCTCAGCCCTGGAGACACAGAAGCAGCAAGGCCTTCTGGAACACCCAGGCCATTTTTTTTTTCAGTGATGGCAGTACAGTGAGCTGAGGAACACAGTGTGGAGGGGTGAGGGAGCAGTGGTCAGCGAAGTTGCCTGGTTGAGGGGGGCCTTGAAAGACAAGTAAGCATTAGGGCATATGCAGAGATGGGAAAAGTGCATTCTAGACAGAGGGAGCCGTGTCTGTGAAGGCCCAGGAGTCCGAAAAGGGCTGGTTGTGAGAGGGCCTGGGAGGTGGGAGACGTGTAGTCCACAAATACCAGAATGCCAGATGTGACTGGGGAAGACAGGAGTGATGAGGACCCAGTAGGGAGCCTGCGTGTGACCCTGACAGGCTGCAGGGACCCCTTGCCGGGAGAGGTTTGGTCAGACTGACATCCTTCCCTAAGGGCCCAGGGGCTTGCTGGCTCAGAGACCTCTGATTCTGCCTCTTTCTATGGGAACATTATGTGTGCTCTAGCACAGCAGCCAGAGGGTGAAATCTGGCCTGCAGATGTGTTTTTGTTTGGCCTGCACAGTGTTTGAAAATTTTCAGAGCCAGTTGCCAAAGTTTGTAAGATTTCATAGAAAAATCCATATTTCTGCCTGTTCTTACCAACACAATCAAGATGGCTGAAAACACTGGGTACCCATTTCTTCCTGTGCCGTGTGGACCCCTGGGACACTGTCAGAGCTGTCCCTTTAGATGGGACACCGCCCAGGCCTTACCCCGCTCTGTTAACCTGAAGTCCAGGATCAAGGAGCCCTTTGTCTTTGTTTGCACTGTGGGTTCTTTAAAGTAGAGTTCTTTAAAGTGTCCTGAAGCGGACACCAGCCACAGGAGCGCACGAACTTGTTAGAAACACAAATTCTCCAGCTGCGCTGTTGGCCTACCAAGTCAGAAAGTCTGGGTGGGGCTGGTGGCTTGGGGTTCAGTATGTGCGCCACATGGCTCTGATGCGGCTGAAGTTCGAGAACCCCTGCTCTGGAGGAAAGAAACATCTCTGTGTACGTGCATCTCTGGAGACACTGGGAAACCATACAGTCAGCTGCAGAGGGCCCCGGGCCACCAGCTGGTTTGGTCTATCATCTGGCCTTCCCCCCCCCCCCGGAGACATTGCCATCCAGGCCCAGAGCCACCTGGAATGGCTCAGCGGTCTGTCCCCAGACTGAGAGGTGGAGGATGCAGATCTGTGTGGCCCGGGATCACTCAGCTCACATTTCCAGTCTGTCCTATTCAGATTTTATGTGACCTGCAGGCAGCAGGGACTGTCATTTTGGCGGAAATGTGTGAAGGCTGGGCTTAGCTTTTCTCCGCTGCCGCCTGCATGCCTTTATCCATTAAAAGCAAATCTCGGGCCCAGTTTGAAGCCAATATCACGTATTAAATCCAGCACAGGTAGCTTTGGCAGGGTGGGAGGGCTTGCAGGAGGAGGGCTCTCCTCAACCCCAGATAGTGTTCCCCACTCAGGCCAGGGAATCCCTTGGAATGAAGAATGATGGACTTCTTTGTTCCCAGCTGTCCCCAGCATGAGCAGCTTTTGTGGGAGAAGACAGCCTCGGTCGGAATCACAGCCATGAGCCCGGCTCCGCGCAGTGGTGGCAGAAGGGCCCTTTGTCATTCCCACCTCGGACACTGGGGCCGGTTTTCCCTGGAGGGGGCACCTTTGTTCATTTGGGAGTCTGGTGCCTCTTGCCCTGGCTGAGGCTTCTCCCTCAGCTCCAGCTGTGAACTCAGGATGACCCCTTCCGCAGAGCCTGCCTTCCGGCTTGCGGCCCTCCACCCCTCTGTTGCTTTCTT